GGCGCCTGTAGTCCCAGCTACTCGGGAGGCTGAGGCCGGAGAATGGCGTGGAACCCGGGAGGCGGAGCTTTGCCAGTTGAGCTGAGATCCGGCCACTGCACTCCAGCCTGGGCGACAAGCGAGACTACGTCTCAAAAAAAAAAAAAAAAAAAGAATAAGAGGCCAGGCGTGGTAGCTCATGCCTGTAAATCCAACACTTTGGGAAGCCGAGGTGGGCGGATCATGAGGCAGGAGTTCAAGACCAGCCTGACCAACATGTTGAAACCCCGTCTCTACTAAAAATACAAAATTAGTGGGCGTGGTGGTGCACGCCTGTAATCCCAGCACTCAGGAGCTGAGGCAGGAGAATCACTTGAACCCAGGAAGGGGAGGTTGCAGTGAGCTGAGATTGTGCCACTGCACTCCAACCTGGGTGATAGAGCAAGATTCTGTCTCAAAAGACGAGGAGAGAGAGAGAGACGAGAGGGAGGAGAGGAGGAGGGGGAGGAGGGAAAGGGGAAAGAGAAAGAAGAAGAAGAAGAAAAAAAGAAGAAGAATGTAATCCCAGCTATTCAGGAGGCTGAGGCAGGAGCAGGAGGATTGCTTGAACCCATAGTGAAACCTCATTCTCAAAAACAATTAAAAATAATGGAAGAGGCCGAGCATAGTGGCTCACACCTTGTAATCCAGGCCCACTTTGGAGCGCCGAGGCCGGATGGATCACCTGATTGTCAGGAGTTTTTCGAGACCAGGTCTGCCACATGGCGCAACCCCCATTCCCTCTACTAAAAAAATTACAGATAAATTACCAGGCATGGTGGTGGCTGCACCATGTAATGGGTATTGCAAAATATTCAGTAGGATAGTCTCGATCTCCTGACCTCGTGATCCGCCCGTCTCGGCCTCCCAAAGTGCTGGGATTACAGGCTTGAGCCACCGCGCCCGGCCGGGGCCTCTTATTCTTAAGTGAAGAAGAAGTAAACTTCTATCATATTTCTGTCTAATATATCTGCTCTCCATTCCTGAAAGTCAAATGCAATTCCCAAGGACTCTCTACTTTATGGCAAACTACACAAATTTTCCATTTAGAGTAACATAAAGTTTCTCCTTTTTTTCTTTTTTTAAGCAAAATAAAGGTCACTATATCAAGATAAAGAATAATATTAGGTGTGAACTAGCATAGGTGACTCATGGGAAACAAAATGGCAAATTCGAAAGGAATTCTGGGAACCATCGTACTAGGTTACATTGCCTTTTTGCCTGTAGAGAACCCATGAGGAGAGGGTTTCTCAGTCTTCCCAGTGGAACCCTTCTCTTAGTTGCACTGGCATTTGGGGATCTCATTGCTGGGCCTAGATCCAGGCAGGGCAGCTCCTGAGGCCCAAGGGTGTGCTCACTCACCAGCTGTCTTCCAGCGTCTGTGTGCTGCTCCTGCCCTCCTGCCTCTTCTCCAGCTCCACCGCTGTCTGTTCCAACAGAGCAGACACAGCGTCCTATAGAGACAAAGGCTGCTGGGTCATTGGGTACAATGTAGGTGCCACCCTACCTGCCAGGAATCAGAGCATCTCAGACCTGTGACCCTCCCAGTGAACTGATGGTCAAACCAAAGACCAGAGTGGTCAAGTGTCTTGCCCAAGGTCACTGATAAACTGGAAAAATTGTCCTTAATTTCTCCAACTAGCAGTTCTCCAGAGAATAGCTCCTGTATGTACGAACATACTCAGCATCGTGGTGGAAGACAGCCAAGTTTAGCAGTGAAGTGAGACAGAATTAAGGTCTCTGACTGTAAGGAGACCACAGCATCATCAGACCAACATGTGAACCATCAATAACATAATGCATAATGTACTGTCTCTTTTTGGAGTGAGAGACCTGAGTTTGAGACCTAGCTTTGCTGAGGAGATGTACCTCTTAATGTAATTTGGTTATCTCTCTGAGACTTGGTAAACTGTACATAATAAACGGAATAGTGCCTGATGCAAAAGGAAGTACAGAAAATGATGATGATGATGATGATGATGATGAAAAAGAAGGTGGGGGTGGGGAGGGAAAGGAGAGGAGGAGGAGAAAGAGAAAAAGAAAATAGACTTAATTGATCTATTTGCTACCCTTATCTTTACCTGTATGTCCTAACCTATCCTCTGCATAGAAATTCTAGGCAGTGGCTGTCCAAACTAACCAAGTACTGACAGAAGGAACAACCTCTACAGAGAGGAAAGGATCACTACAGAGAATTACAAGAAAACCTGAATCCAAAACACTCTCTCTAACTTTTTGATGTGGTCAGGATCCCATAGGAGTCCAATACCCTATAGGTAAGACTAACTTCACTGCTCAACTGAGTCCTGACCAGTCTGCCTGGCCAGTAGGTGTGGGCTTTCCAAATGGGGGAGACAGTGTAAGGATCTTTTAATACGTTAAAGCGTACTGCACTAACTAAAATGAAAAAAACATATTTTTTCACTGAAAATAGGCAAATGTAAGATTTTTTTTTTCTTTTTTTCTTTTCTTTTCTTTTTTTTTCTGAGATGGAGTCTTGCTCTCTTGCCCGGGCTGGAGTGCAATGGTGTAATCTTGGCTCAATGCAACCTCTGCCTCCCGGGTTCAAGTAATTCTCCTGCCTCAGCCTCCCTAGTAGCTAGGATTACAGACGACTGCCATCATGCTTGGTTAATTTTTGGAATTTTAGTAGAGACAGGGTTTCGCCATGTTGGCCAGGCTAGTTTTGAACTCAGAGAGATCTACTCAAGAGATCCTCCTGCCTCAGCCTCCTAAAGTGCTGGGATTACAGGCATGAGCCACCATGCCCGGCCAAGATTTTCAAGTAACAAAGTCATAATGGAACAGTTACCAAGTGCTCTTTACATATATTTCTTCAAAGCATCATAAAAACTTTTTTCTCTTTTTAATAATTACTTATTATTATTATTATTTTTGTAGAGATAGGCCTCACCATGTTGTCCAGGCTTGTCTTGAATTCCTGGCCTCAAGAGATCCTCCTGCCTCGGCCTCCCAAAGTGCTGGGATTATAGGCATGAGGCACCGTGCCCATCCTCATAACAACCTTTTAAGGCTCACATTAGACATTAAAAATTGGATGCTCAGAGAGGCCATATGACTGACCTAGCCCTCTGATTCTCTTCCCATGACTTCCAGCTGCCTCTTATACAAAGCCTCCACTGTGGACCTTGAACAAAGTAGGGGTCCAAGAAAGGTTCATCTTTTACCTTCCACAGTTTTCTATCTCCTTCTCCATTTCATTTGTAAAAAATCATGAATTAAGTTTTCGTTAGCCAAGTGGTATTAGGTAGAACAAAGGACAGGAGGAAGCACAGATGTGGAAGAAAGCAGTTGTGGAAGGGGAGCCGCCTGCCCCTTAGTGGAGATCTCTCCTTCCCTGTCTTCTTCTCCTACTTCCTCCACCCCATTTTTCTCCTCTTGTGATGCCCGACCACCTCCAGTTCTGGGAGAGGCTTTCCCTTCCAACATCCAGGTGCTGCCTTGTGGGAGGGTGGCACACCTGGTCCCAGCTCACCGTGCTTGCAGGCCCTGGGGCAGGGGCCGTGACTCCCACTGGCTTGAGCTCCCTGCTCTGTTTCTTCAAGTATTTGTAGCTGAGGAGGTTGTACCAGCGAGTCGACCTCTCCCCAGACCTGCAGACCTCCGCCAGGCTGATCTGGGCGCCTCCCTGTTGGGGATGGAAACAAGGAGAACATAAGCGGGGCAGAGGGGGGAACCAAGTGTCAGGGAATCTGGTTCACGGAGACAGTATGGAGAAAACACCACTCCAGATAAGACGGAGGCATCCTGGCAGGAAGATAGGCCAAGTTGTTAACATTCCCATTGACTCATTTGTCGTTCATTCATTCGTTGATCGGTTTAATCATTTGCCAAATCTTTATTGAGGACTTATCCTATGAATTTTTTTTTAAATAAACAAAACTATGCTAAAAAAAACCTTTAGTTTACCATCTTTGCTGCTTTTAAGTGCAATTTCAGTGGTATTAAACATTACGCACATTGTTGTAAAAGAGATCTACTGAACATTCTCATCTTGCAAATCTGAAAGCTTTGCCTCCCGGGTTCACGCCATTCTCCTGCCTCAGTCTCCCAAGTAGCTGAACTACAGGCACCCGCCACCACTAATTTTTTGTATTTTTAGTACAGATGGGGTTTCACCATGTTAGCCAGGATGGTCTCGATCTCCTGACCCCATGATCTGCCCGCCTCGGCCTCCCAGAGTGCTGGGATTACAGGCGTGAGCCACCACACCTGGCAACTCTACACTTATTAAGCAACAACTTCCTTTTTCCCCTCCCTGCAGCCCCTAGTAACCACCACTGTATTTTCTGTTTCTATGAATTTGATGACTTTAGATACCTCATATAAGTGGAATCATACAGTATTTGTCTTTTTGTGACTGGCTTACTGAACTTAACAATGCCTTCAAGGTCCATCTGTGTTGTAGCGTATATCAGAATTTTATTCCTTTTTTGTTGTTGTTTTTTTGGAGGTAAGGTCGCACTCTGTTGCCAGGCTGGAGTGCGGTGGTGTGATCATAGCTCACTGTAATCTCGAACTCCTGGGCTAAGAGATCCCCCTTTCTTTTTAATGCTGAATAATATTCCATTGTATGGGCATGCTACATTATGCTTATCCAGTCATCTGCTGATGGACATTTGGGTTACTTCTACCTCTTCACTATTGCGAGCAGTGCTGCCATGAACATGAGTGTACTAGTAATTCTTTAAGAACCTGCTTTCAGGGCGGGCATGGTGGCTCATGCCTGTAACTGGAGCACTTTGGGAGGCTGAGGTGGGTGGATCACCTGAGGTCGGGAGTTCGAGACCAGCGTGACCAACATGGAGAAACCCCATTTCTACTAAAAATGCAAAATTAGCCAGCCGTGGTGGCATATTCCTGTAATCCCAGCTACTCGGGAGGGTGGGGCAGGAGAACTGCTTGAACCCAGGAGATGGAGGTTGCAGGTGAGCTGAGATCGTGCCATTGTACTCCAGCCTGGGCAACAAGAACAAAGCTCTGTCTCAAAAACAAAACAAAACAACAACAACAACCTGCTTTCAATTATCTTGAATATATGCCCAGAAGTACAATTGCTAGGTCATATGGTAGTTACATTTTAAATTTTTTAGTGGAACTACTATACTGTTCACATCAACACTTGCTAAGGAAGTGCTTATAATCCCACCAACAATGCACACGAGTTCCAATTTCTCTACATCTTCACCAACACTAGTTATTTTGTGTGGTTTTTTGATAGCCATCATCCAAATATGTGTGAGGTGGTATCTCATTGTGGTTTTGATTTGCATTTCTCTGATAATTAGTAATGTTGAACATCTTTTCACATGGATGTTGGCCATTTGTATATTAATTTTGGAGAAATGTCTATTCAAGTCCTTTCTCCTTTTCACATTGGGTTATTTGATTTTTCTGTTGTTGAATTCCCATTCTGTGTTAGTTATATTAAGCACTAGGTTCTATGTTATGTACTGAGCACAATGATGGTCCCCACATGGTTCCACCTTCTGGGAGCCAGCACTGTCCCAAGGAACTCAGGAACTGAACAAGTAATTAATTCCAAGTGAGGTAGAAAACTGCGTTGTCATTTCTCCTCCACTAAATTTGCAAAAGTTTGAAAAATTGACAACAAATGCTGTTGGTGAGGTTATGGGGAAACAGGCTCTCTCTCACCTTGCTCGTGGGAATGTAAAATGGCAGAAACCCGATGGAAGGAATTTAGTCATATCTAGTAAAAACATAAACGCATTTTACCCTTCGACCGAGTAATTCTCCTTGTAGCTGTCTATCCCACAGATACACCTGCAGAAATCTGTACAAGTACAAAATGACCCACAAAAAGAGTCTTCATTTTGACCCTCTTTATAATAGCGAAAGTTTTTTTTTTTTTTTCTTGAGACAGAGTTTTGCTCTTTTTGCCCAGGCTGCTGGAGTGCAATGGCATGGTCTTGGCTCACCACAACCTCTGCCTCCCAGGTTCAAGCAATTCTCCTGCCTCAGCCTCCAGAGTAGCTGGGATTACAGGCATGTGCCACCACGCCCGGCTATTTTTTTTTTTTTTTTTCATATTTCTAGTAGAGACGGGGTTTCTCCATGTTGGTCAGGCTGGTCTTGAACTCCTGACCTCAGGTGATCCGCCCACCTCGGCCTCCCAAAGTGCTGGGATTACAGGTGTGAGGCACCGCGCCCAGCCAACAGCAAAAGATTTTAAACGACTCAAAGGTCCAGCAACAGGGAACAGACTGAAAGAACTATAATCTATCTATGCAATGGAATATTATGTAGCTGTGTAAAAAAGAGGAAGATATCTTTATACTGATGCAGAGAGATGGCCAGGCTATACAGTTACGAGAAAAAAAATAGCACGGTGCAGAAAAGAGTACATAATATGCTACCTTTTGTGCAAGAGAGAGGGGGATAAGTATATGTGTCTATAGTCTATGTATATATTGCACCATGTTTGAGGTGCAAGGCGGAGTGAACATGATCATACGTGCACAAGAAATAATGGAAAGATGAAAAAGAAATTAATCAAAGTGGTCACCTATATAGGATAGGCAGTGAGGCTGGGGTGAGGAGAGAGCATGATTTCTCTTCAGTAAACCTTTCCATACAATTTTTCTTTGAGTTATGTAAATATATCCCTTAAACTGAAAACAAATTATAACAAACTAACCTAACTGACTATAAGCTCACAGAAAAGGGAATTATTTCAAGTGACTTAATATTTTTACTGTTTTATTTTTCCCCCCTACATCCTCCCTAGAAATTACTACAAACTAATTAATCATTCCTCAGAGGCTTTATTGTTTTGACATGTCCAAAAATGAGCCCTGGTCAGGTTTGGGAAGGTGGTCAGCCTACCTTCCCCTAACACACTAGTGTCGGTGTGTGGAAGGGGCTACCCAGACTCTGTGCTGATGGGTGGTAGAAATACCAAATGCCAGTTTGCAAAATGGACTTGAGCCAAGTGTATTAATCCATTCTCATGCTAATAAAGGCATACCCGAGACTGAGTAATTTATAAAAGAAAGAGGTTTAGTTGACTCACAGTTCAGCATGGCTGGGGAGGCCTCAGGAAACTTATAATCATGGCAGAAGAGGAAGCAAACACTTCCTTCTTCACATGGTGGCAGCAAAGAGAAGTGGCGAACAAAAGTGGGAAAAGCCCCTTATATAACCATCGGATCTCATGAGAACTCACTCACTATCATGAGACTAGCAGCATGGGGGTAACCGCCCCCACGAGTCAATTACCTCCCACCAGTTCCCTCCCACAACACATGGGGATTATGGGGGCTACAATTCATCAGGATGCATCGGAATGTGGCAGAGCTGTGCTAGGTCTGGGACAGTGAAAGGTGGTTTCTGAGAGCACAGTGGTGAGTGGGGAGAGGAAGAAAGCCCGATGCTGACACTTCGCTTGTTTAGCACCAGCTTCCTCATCTGGAAAACAGAGAAAACAACTCCTACCTACCCGCCTATTGGGAGGATCAGAGTGAATTAAATGCTTGGCACACTTCAGGCACCCACAATAAATGTACATATATATAAATATTTGTCTATTGCTCATTTATTCATTCAATAAAAACTCCCTAAGCCCTTCGCAGACTCTGGAACCACAGAAGCATGTAAGATATGATTCTTCCCCAAAACGGCTCATGGTTTCCTAGGGAGATAGACAGCTATGTTGGATATTACAGTTCAGAACATGCCAGGCCATGTGTGAGGTATGAGGGGAAAGGACCAGGACCACAGCTTTGAGGTGTAACACTTCCAGCAGATTATTATTAATTCTAACAAGATATACTGTTTATCTGGGGCCGGCTCACAGCTGTGAGTATTGTCTACCTCAGTAAACTGGATGCACCTTTGAGGGCATTTACGTATTCCTTCATTCATTTATTCAACACACAAAAACGTGCTGAGAAGTCTCATGTGCCAGGCACTGTTCTGGGTGCTGGAGACAGAGCAGAATTGAAGGCAGATAAATATTCCTGCCCCATGACTTTATATTTGCGTCTAGGGGAATCAGATAACAACTCCATAGGTAAACTCCTTACTGTGTTTCATCGAATCTAAGATGCCATCTTTAAAAGTGTACCATTATTTTATGCACCAAGAAAGAGAGATAGTTGCCAATTAAACTATAACTTGTCATCTAGTACACAGTGCATCTTGATTTCAGAAATAAAATGTAAAGATAACACGTACCCTAGAATCTATGAGGTACAGTGAAATGTCAGGTGATAAAAGGTGGTGTAGAGAAAAATACTACAGGGAAGGGGGCTAGAAGGGGATAAGAGAGCAGAGAGGGTAATGGGATTTACATAGGGTGGAAGACCTCACTGAGAAGGTGACATTTGAACAAAGTCCGGAAGGAGGTGAGGGAACACCTGGGAGGACAGGATGCCAGGCAGAGGACACAGCAAGTGCAAAGGCCTGGAGGGGAGCACATGTTGGCGTATTCAAGGAACACGAGGCTGGAGGAAGAGTTTTGCAGATATAATCCCAGAGATAAGAAGTGGCCAAATCCCAAGGGGCCTTGGAGGCCAGGCAAAGGACACAGGTGTTGACTCTAGGTGGAGACATAAGCCATCATAAGGTTTTAGCAAAAGAATGGCATGCACTGATTTACATTTAAAT